TTAGACCACCTCACCTGTAAACCACATGTTAGAAGGCAGCGTTAGACCACCTCACCTGTAAACCACATGTTAGAAGGCAGCGTTAGACCACCTCACCTGAAACAGTCGTACTTCCTCGGGAAGACTTCTTATCTAGCTCTTTCTTATGGTAGTTTTCTAATTCTTAAAGATCAAATCGTGTGAGGAATCGGCTCTTAATGTAGAGACAGAAAACTTGTATTTCATGTTCAGTGTCTTAGTTATGTCTTGTAAATAAACAGTATACTGAATGTATTTACTATTGTTCTCTTTACTAGACTCTGCCAGACACTTAAACAATGAAAACACAAGTAGAGTAGTAATAATCCACCAACACACATATTAACTTATAAAACATACACAACACACATACTTAAAGTCGGCCTCAACTCTGCCAGAGATTTAAACAATGAAAACACAAGCAGAGTAGTAATAATCCACCAAAAAATTAACTTATAAAACATACACAACACACATGCTTAAAGTCGGCCTCAACTCTGCCAGAGATTTAAACAATGAAAACACAAGTAGAGTAGTAATAATCCACCAAAAAATTAACTTATAAAACATACACAACACACATACTTAAAGTCGGCCTCAACTCTGCCAGAGACTTAAACAATGAAAACACAAGTAGAGTAGTAATAATCCACCAAAAAATTAACTTATAAAACATACACAACACACATACTTAAAGTCGGCCTCAACTCTGCCAGAGATTGAAACAATGAAAACACAAGTAGAGTAGTAATAATCCACAAAAAATTAACTTATAAAACATACACAACACACATGCTTAAAGTCAGCCTAATAGTAAATTGTAAGACGATTTGCTTTCTTAAGTATTTTCTTTATAGAGTATAACGTAAGGCTGTCTACTGTGGGTTTTGTGTCACGATAAGTTAGACAAGAAAGTTCAATAATTATGTTTCATACCAACTACTTCTGTCTATTTACTATGGAAACTCTTAACATGATTAAAGTTACACTTAAATCTAAGTTTCCTGATTTTACGTTTAAAAGCCTCTGAAATTAAATATCACTAAACAAATTGTTTAAATCATTTTCAGTAAAATGTAAAAATAACCTTTCTCACGTAGTCCGTTTTACTACCCAAACTTTCATAGTTTCTATTTAGGATGGTTTAAACATTTGAATCCAGTTATAAAAGAATAAAAAAAATGGAACAATTCACTTACCTGTATTATAACTGGCCGATAAGCAGAGAGTTTCAAATTACGAAGATGTGATGGAAAGAAATCAAATTCAAACATCCGTACAGCACATTTTGTGAGATTACAGGCTTGTTGGAGCTAAGTAATATACAAAAAATATATATAGTTATGCCACTAGGTGGCAGGCCAGTCAATAATAACCACATGGAATTCAAGCAAGAGAGAAAGTGGAGTGTGTGATGGACTCTTTGAAAAGTTTAAAAGTGTAGCGTGGGGTTCTTTTGCTTTAACGTCCATTTTACATGTAACAACGAGCATATAGAAGTGTAACTTTATGTTGACTGTAACAATTCATTAGCAAATATAACTGGTACTATTTGTTTATTTTGAAGTTTTTCTATGATCTGCATAAAATAAGAGTTCTGTAAAATTTGGTGGAAATATGAATGTGCTTAGCCTTCGATTGTAACCTCATCTTAATAACAAATGAGATAGTTTAACCCTTACACCATGGAAAAGGACTACAGTTGATGGAAGATTAATTAAGTGTTACTGACAGCAGAGATCCAAGGCTGGCAGACGACACATGGCACCAATGCACAGAAATATTATCTGATTGTCTTATATTATCTGTGTTTTTACCATAATCTACGTAAGTTACTAATGCCATGACATCAAGATATGCAATGTAAGTGTCTTATATATTATAATGCAGTGAAATTTACTGCTAATTTATGATGTTTTTTGATGTAGAAATGACCGTGAAATCTAATTTTGTGGTGACAGGGTTAAAGGTTTTGAATCGTTTGAATGAGGTGATGTTATTTTCATCATGAACATAAAAGTACTTGTAAACAATATGATTAAATGACACAGTTTAATATCAGTCACTCAAAACATATTTGATCACACATTTTCATCACAATGCCTTTCATCAAATACACAGAAGTATAAACAATCACTCTGTTTGAGTACCTAAGTAGGGGCTTCCTCTCGATAAATTTGTTTTTAAGATATAAAAATATTATGTTGTGTATTTCACGTATTTCTATCAAAAGAACTTTTAAATTTTCTCTTACTGTTTTTTTAAATCAAATCACTATAACGTAAGTAATTGTTGTTATAGTATAGCTCAGTCATGTTTTTTAATCAAAACACAATAATGTAACTAACTGTTGTTATAGTATAACTCAGTCATGTTTTTTTAAATCAAATCACTATAATCTAAGTAATTGTTGTTATAGTATAGCTCAGTCATGTTTTTTAAATCAAATCACTATAATATAAGTAATTGTTGTTATAGTATAGCTCAGTCATGTTTTTTAAATCAAATCACAATAATGTAAGTAATTGTTGTTATGGTATAGCTCAAGTTGTGTGTATTTTAACACTTGTTTAAATAGAGATAATTAAAAATTCGAACTTACAGCAGTTGCTTCTCTTACTGACAAGTCAAGACCATATAATATAACAGAATGGTCTGGCATATACTTCTGACAGGACTTCATGAAAACAAGAGCCATTTCACTTTCACCGGGTGAGACGGCCGTTACTATCACTGGTAGCGTCACATTTTTTGAGTTATTGGAAAAGTACAACCAAGGACTGTCTGTGAAACCAAGAATCTTCAGGTACTCTGGATTACCCTCAATCCCGGGTGTCTCGGAAGAGACCATCTACGTGTACATAAGAAAAAGAAGGAAGATCCGTCAGTACGACTGACGTAACCATATCACGAGAAGTAATCTAACTAGAAGGATCTGAATCTCATCGAAAGTGACCTGAATACAGTTTAAGGTTGTACTCACAAATCATTTAAGAAATAAGAGATTTTATGAATTTCTATCGTTCTACAAATATTGACCCGGTACTGCACACAGTTTTTTTAAGTCATGAGAAAAAAATCAAGTCGAGGTTACTCGCAGAACTACAATTCTACCATGAGAGACCTAGCACTGGGATACTTTTTATATTACTAGAAAGATTTGGCATCATTTATATCAAAGACCCCATGATCTAATAATTAGGAGAATTCATATGTAACTCCGTGACTCCAAGAAATTTCAAACAATATTTGAGTTAGAATACGAATAACAGTTGACTAGAGTTTTAGGGTTTAGGACACACTGATAAAATTTACAGCAATTCAGCTTGTTTTTTTAGACTTTCTGCAATCGCACTCGTAATAAGTGCACAAAAAACTTTTTTTTTTATTTGTTTTCATGGTGTAATCCAAAAAACAAACACACTCATTATTAACAATTGTGTAGGTATGTACCCCCCCCCCCTCTCAAAATTTAAAAATGTTTAATGCAGATTAATTGGAAACAAAATATATATGAGACAGAAAAAAAATATTTTACTTGTTTGCATGGCATCTAAACATCGTAAAACTGCTTCAGCTGAGGTTAGTAATCAACATAAATTATTAAACTAACTCAGAGTTGTGTCTGTGTATATATATATATATATCATTGTTTTTAGGATTCTTTTGTGGACTGATGTAAAATGGAACATTTTTTTTTTAACAAATATTGTTTCACATGGACAGAATAATTGACCAAGTATAGCATGGACATTTGAAAAGTTTCCCAGGAGATTCCTAAAAAATCAGCACCATAGGAATCCTTCAGAGACTATAAAAAACAACAACTGTTGAACATGAATAAGAGTAGTTGACCTAGTTGTTATTGCGTAACCAATTTGTTACAAATTGGAGATGGGAAAGATGACCCAAAATAACAGGACAGAAACCAAGATTTCTTAATTTTGAAATTGTGTTGTAACAGAATTCATCCCATAATGTGAAATTAATCCTGAATTATTGGTAATATAAAATTAATCCTGTAATCCTGGTAATATAAAAATTAATCCTGTAATCCTGGTAAATAAAATTAATCCCGTAATCCTGTAACTATAAAATTAATCCCATAATCCTGGTAATATAAAATTAATCCCATAATCCTGGTAATATAAAATTAATCATGTAATCCTGGTAATATAAAATTAATCCTGTAATCCT